TTATTTTATAAATGAATTATTTTCACCGTAAATCAACATATTTGAACTTTGCCCAATATTGGAAATAGAATCTGTATTGTATACGTGACCATATTAATATGGTAGATAATTAGCTAGAATATACTAACGTAATCACTACGTGAGGCATTATGCTATTGTAATACGGTTATAATTAATCTAGAAAACGACTTATTATCTTGATACGTAGATAAGTAATATCACATCGTCTTGATGAATTAGACTCCGATAAACATTCAATTTCGGCATCGTTGCCATTTCGAACAACTAATATAAGATACAATCCTGCTATATAAATAATTTTTTTTTATATTTTCAACCTTGATATTTGGAAATAATCATTCCTTCTACACCGTGACGTTATAAATATAAATAATAACACTAATTTAATCCAAATGATTGTTTACTACTGCATTTCAATCTTAGTACAAATTACCTTGATAATAAAATTTTTTTCTTTCAATGACGACAAATTCTTCTATCACAACTAACACCTTTTGCATTCTTCCAAAGAAACCAGTTAAATATTATCCCATTTATTAATGGTTTCATAACTTAACATTTTAATTTACTCTGAATGCATTAATTTAATCTCGGATAATACTTTATCGCTTTGATGACAAAAAGCCGTCTCAATGCATCCGATGATATTGTACGAGTAGATTGATGATTATTATTTCTTTAACGTCATTGCTAAATAACTAAAATCAAATACTAACCTATTTATAATTGGCATACCTATAGATTATTTAACGTGCTTCTATTAAGTAAAGTACTAAGTGAGAAAACTTATTCACGACGGCATCAATCAATCAATCAATCTAGTCAAGGATTGCAATCCAATTCGATTGATGACATCAAATCTGGCCCATAAGTCAGACATTACGTCACTATTTTGTTAACGCCAAACATTCTACCCTAAGAACACGCTTTACACGAAGGATTCTATCCACTAATTTATTCATGATTGGCACACCTAAAGCTTATCTAATGAGCTACTTTTAAGTTAACTACTAAATGAGAAAGCTTATTTATGACGCTATCAACCAATCTAGATAAGGATTACAAACGACTTCAATTGGTAACATCAAATCTGACCGGCAAGTCAGATATTTGGTCACTGCAGCCTTAACCTTAAGTATCACCTCTATCAACATGTTTTACACGAAGGACTTTAACTACTAGCCTATTATGATTGGCACACCTTAAGATTATTTAATATTTTCTTGACACCCGGGCAAAATACTCTATCAACACGTTTAATAGAAGGAATTTATTTACTAAGTTAGTTATGATTGGCACACCTAAAGGTTAATTAATGTTCTCTGAACCCCAAACATTATACTCAATCAACACATTTTTAGGAAGGATTTTATCCACCAAGCTATTATGATTGGCACACCTACAGATTATTTAATGAGCTACTTTTTAAGTTAACTACTAAATGAGAGCACTTCTTCATAACGGTATCAATCAGTCAATTAATTAATCAATTTAGATGAGGATTGCAATCGACTTCGATCGGTAACATCGAATCTGATCCTCAAGTCCGACATTTCGCCACGGCTTTCTTAACACAAAGCATTCTACTCTACCAATACATTTTATAGGAAGAATTTTGTCGTGTAGCTTCAAAGATGCTACCTCCCGCTAACAGTGATAATAACGTAACGTAATTCTTAATATTAATAGTAAGATAAGATCAAAGGACATTCATCTCTAATAATCATATTAGCGCATTATCTATCAAGCAATTGTTCTGTGACAATAGCTGCAACAATAAAATTAACCTCGCAGTTTATGATTTATACTCTTACTATTGAACATTAAATTATCTATTGTGATTCCATGCAACCAAGGTTTGACGTAATAATAAAATATGTTGATGACTTAATTTTAGATTAGACTTAATTTTACATGCTGTCAAGTTATTTAACGATCAATTCTTCAATCCCACCTTACTGTATTCAATCTAGACATCATTTCTTACAAGTTACTTCCAGTAATAGTCGCTACTTTGGGTACCGTATAGGACTTAATTTATCTTTTCCTTTTCCAACTTTTTTCTCTATTCCGATTGAGCTTATTAAATCGATCATCTGTAAGTGGTAATAGATAATTCGTTGTAACATAATCTCTACAAGATTGATCATTTTGAAACGTATGTCTGTAAGTGCTAGTAAGGATTAACCGTTGCTAACATATTCTTAACAATTTAAGCGTATTATTTCATATTGCCACATTAATTATCGGAGATGAGTAAAAAGGGTTAGTTTTAGTGGATTATGTGTGTTATCTTATAGAGAAGTGTGACAAGGCATCTTCTTACATTTGTAATGGATAGATTAATATCGATTTTATCAGTTTATCAACTGATGTCTGTTCTTTCTTAACCAGAGCTTAAATTTATCAAGCAATCAAGATGTTAATGCTACATTGTATTCTGATTTTATCTTGTATGATGCAACAAGGTAAGGTATCTACTTACAATCCAACAATATTTCTATCTATTACAAGATTACAATGTATTATATGCAAATGTTATTCCATTACAGTATTTGGTCTACCATATTGCTATGGATTTGTTTCGGGCACAATCTGGTTCGATGTTAATGTAGCAGGAAAAAATGAAACAACGGTCATCAATTTCTGCCGATCAACATTCTACTTTGGTAGTAACTCCAATACAGGTGGGCGTGAGAATATTAACAGATACAGGCGTAACCTATTTCTAATTTATTTAACTTCTTAAAAACAGCAATTAATGATGGTAGAACATTTATCACCAATAGAGTCCGTTAATTATATAATTACTGATCAGCTTTTATTTCTTCTCTATCCTCATCTTTCGTTATCTTTACCTACCTACGTCATGGCTAACCTTCTATCGTGATTTTTATTTATTCATTCCATGGCAATGCAACTGATTCTTAACTAAACATTTGACTTTGTAGTTATGAATTTGAGTAGATGATAAGAGGATCCTTAGATGTGGATTCAAGCAGATAATCTGGTTATTTTTTTTATTATAATGTCGATAATTCTCCGTTAAATTTAATTTGTTATTTACTTAGCCCTATGACGTCGATGATGATCAAAATCAATTTTGAAATTCTTTACATAACTGTCAATGCAATTTATCAATTTATTTATACGATATCAATAGCGTAGGAGTCCAAATGTCAGTAGATGATGAAAAGAAAGTTGCCGTAAATAACGTCCTAAATAACTACGATCAAAGGTGCTAATAGCCACAAATTATCCCATCATTAGTGCTGCATTTAATTCTAATTATTAATATCATTGCAGATGCTTAGAAAGAAGAGTTTGAAACTTTACGCTTGTTTCTTTATGCTGGAAAGATCGCTTTTGCATTCTTACATCATACCCAATTTCTTGAAAATAGCTACCGATTGAGTTATAGCATCTTAGATTTTAGTATCAGCTGGTCATCCTGAATAGGTTATAAACAAAGGAATACATTTAGCTACAGTAAGCTATCTATCATCCCCCTTCAACGGGATTATGCACCACTCTAAACGGTACTTCAAGATAATATGACGTATACAATTACTTCTATTCGCAAAAATTTTAATTGTTAGCCTAAACTCTTCGATATTATGGTTCACTTTAATAACCCCAATAGGAAATTAGTGAGATCGTTCTTGTACAAATGCAAAGTATATGGCTATCGAAATGGTAAAAAATACAATATAACAAGAACTGACATAAAATGCCAAAGGGTTACTTTTTAATTAGCAGCACTAAATTTGAAAATGCTCAATTATAAATGCAAACTTATAAAGTGTGATCATTATCAGCCTCTAATCCAGTAATACTACCGTATCAGATTAAATAGTATGATTCTGGATTATCAAGATAGAAAGGAACAGGTTATAATCAGTGAGAATAAATCTTGATGATAAAAATTTCAAAGATGAAAATTACTGGTACTATGTACACTTTAAATTTCAACAAATGACATTAGATCAGATAGTAATTGTAAAATGCGATTCTTCTAACAAAAATCGATTAAAAGCATATTTGCTATGGAAGGAGTGCTAAATTAGCTACAGGTTTTCCTTGTATTTTAATTACGGAATTAAATTAGATAGCTCAATAAATTTAGAGTGTTGCGGAGATAAGTTCCTGAGTATAAAATAACTGTCATATTTGCTTTCAACTATAGCCTTCAGAATTCAATCCAAGTTCATCCGCATCGCTCTTCGTATCTTCTACTATACCTTTGAAATTGATTACATAGCACCGAAGTGTATATTAAATCGTCAAAGTCTGAAAACTAGTTCGGAAGTAATTTAGTTATAAAAACGTACATAGTAAAGAAAGAAATTAAAATCATTTATTTGCCTATTACAGAATGAATCTCGATATAGCAGTACCACTTTCTAAGTCTTGAAGTGTATTCTAAGTTATCATGCTATTAATTTTATCCATTTAAAACTAAATTTTTAGCACCATCGATCATAAAATGTCGAAATTGTAACTTGAATGAATGTATTTCATTAACTATAAAGTAAATCTTATTCAATTTCGTCTGTAGAATAATCCAATACCATATTTTAACCTAAATTTGATCTTTTTCTACCGTATAAAAATCCTACCTTGTAATTAAGTCAACGTTATATTCATATCTTGAATTAAGGAATGACTTATAAAAAAATATTGAAATCATAACGGAGCAGACATTTTGCCCGATCTCCTTTACTAAATATTTTTCATAAGCATTTATTTTATTCGTTTAATACATAGTACTGAGTGGCTTGGCAACACTGCCATGTCGAAAGACAGGAAGTGAATGGTCCTTAGGAAACGAGACGGAAGTAAATTTATGCGGATGTCGATTCACAGCCATGCAGCAACTACACCAGTCTGTTCAGGTTGTACAAAATAAAATTTCAATCTGTTTCAAGCAATTTAATGCGTTGATATAACTCACCAAAAATTAAGTTGTGCTAATAGATATGGATATCGATCCTATTTTTATTGTGCAGAACCTTACCAACACTACGTTGGATAGCTCCGTTTTCTCCTCTAGCATCGAAGTGGATGCAATCTTGCAAAATTCTTTCTATACCCGTCCTGTGAAAGTATTCGGTAAAGCACTTCATGTTGAAGATGCAATTGAAACAGTCTATCGCTTATTTCAATTACATGTTGGTCGTACATATCAAGTGAATAAGACCAAGATATGGACCGCTAATGTAGGTTAATTTGTATGCTACTGGCATGATGCTGAATCATAATGAACTTGAACTAATCTTACACCCTTTGATCTTCATATTTTATTGATCAAAGTGCTTATATCAAGCTGCAAGCCGAATTATCAACATAACAGCATGCAATAATGTATGTAAAATACATTACGCAAATTAATTAATTCTAATATACTGAATCATATTCAACTGCGATGCTTTTATATTTTTGCACGGTAGATACTGTAAGCTGGTTCGTGTTAAACTATTTCATTTGATATTCTACATTATGCACGAGTAAAGTTTATTTTTTTGTTAATAATAGACCTCCTTAATGAGTGCAATTCTTCCAACGCTAAAAAATGATATCCAAGATCAGGTACGATGTTGTCAAGACTACCAGCAAACTCAAAACATCGCCAATTGTCCGGCTAAAGAAGGTAAAGCCATCAATCATGATTTATAATCATGTTTTCTGTGTGAATGATTGAGCTTTTCGCATGTTAATTGATGCCGCTAATGATCGAGATAAACTATTAAGCTTCAATGGTTCAAGAAAAGAATTAAATCAGGGCATCATTAGTAAATTAATAAATAAGTAGGTGAATTAATTAAAATAGTTAAACCTACAAGCTCTTAGTAATATATCCTGCATTATTAAGTGGGTAATCTTATCCTTACACAATCGTCTATTAAACGCTCTATAAACCTTTTCTTTATTGTAATCGTAAGTAAGATGTGAAAGAATTAAGTCTAATGTCGTCTAATATTAGAAAGCTATAGCTTAGCTTTTTTATTTACCAACATTTTATCACGCTGTTACTGATGGTATTTAATTTAAAGATTTTAAATCTCTTCCATTATTCGCGATGAATTTTTTCAGTACCATACTATAGAATTTAAGCATGAAGTTGCTTTTACATTTCCTATGAGTAAGAATGCCTTGCTAATTTATTCGTAATATTCTCTCGCAGCAAAAAGCTAGAGCAGGCTAAGATGCATAATGGCTAGTTTAAGTGCTTCTAATGTAGAAGACCTAGTAGAGATCAATTATAAAATGTTCAATATGCTGGATCACACTAGCATACATGATGGCTACTTTAAGCACTACTAATGTACATGGCCTAGAAATGACCAATTTATAAAACGACTTAGCCAGAGATAGGTAATCGCAACGAGAAAACATATTACACAATACTAATGGGCGAATCTTGTAGAATTTGCACATAATGCATTCCTTGATATATCTACTGCTCTGGATCCCTACTTTAACTGATCCGATCTCGATTGAAATTTGATTTTGATTTTCTATTGTAGAAATTGAAGACACATGCCCGACGAATTATGCTCGTGGTTTCTTATGGGAACCAACCAAAGTTAATGTTACAATCAAAAGTAACAGGAAGGAATCTTGCAAGTTATTTACTAGCGATATAGAGCCAATGGATCAGAATTTGCATGTTCATGGTAAGTTCAATTAGATATCTTAAGCAGATATAGCGGAAAGGCAGTATTACTCTCAGTAAGAATTCTAATAATTCCATAAACACAGATAGCTACATTCACTTTAAAAGTAGCGTGCATTCAAGTTCAGTAGTTTATTATTCATCTAGTATATTTCAGTATGTATAAAATTATATTAGATTGCAATCTAGGATTAACTGAGTCATTCCTCTAGAGAAAATAGTTTCTCTTATGAAAAAAATAAACATTAGTAGATTACCAAGTGAAATGGCATTACCGCGATATCCACCCTCCTCTCTTCTCATTTATACTTTAGTCTATTCTTCATCCTTGATTTAATGCATACCAATACTATGCTTCGTCATCATTGACATTTTTTCAACCCACCAATGTTAATTGTTGTTAAATAGTTAAGCACTACCAGGTTCAACGTTTCTATTCTCATACTTACATTAGACTTCTATTCTCTCTTGTTTTTAGGCCATGTAAGTAGAACATGTACATCTAACAGGCAAGCCAGCTCTGTATGGGCTTCTGTTAATGGATGTAAATGTTTCGTGACAGCAATGACAGATGTATTGGCTAAAGTAAGAACTTGTTGTATTTTATACATTAAAACATTCTGATGTTAACCTGCGGGGTTCTTGCCAATTGCCCATGATTTAATATTAATTTGCCTTTCTCTTCTCATGAATTAATTATAATAGATGAAATTAACCGTGGCCAAGCAATATACCATGCACTACTTGAGCACACTAACTAGTTTTGTTAGAAAATATTACAAGTATAACACAGACTTTAACATAGCAACGAATGCTCAAGAGTTACTTTCTCAATCTCAGCAACAGCAGACGGATTTACAAAGCATTTACTATACTGAATTTACTGGCGTAAGTCCTCCATTCTATACTAATTTACTTGCAATAGACATTTATATCAATTCTTTTCATCTGCCAGATATTGCAATAGATAAGTGAAATAGTCTATTTCAGATCGAATTTAATATCTTGGTACTATTTATGCTTGTATTAAAGTGCTTGGCAATGACAACGATGGACTTGATCAGTAATTGGCATTCTGACAAGAATTGTCCGGCACCGGTAATAAATTTTAAGGACTGTATTGAGTGGATTATTGCCCTTGAATTTCATAGTCATTCTCTTTTCCTTACAACGATCTATAGGATAGCTCCAAGGTAGCCATGAACAACACCTTCTACAATGCATTAGCCACACTACTCAACATGCCCAAAGAAGATGTACTCAGTAATCCTGCTTATTCACTGGAAAATAATGATACTCTGACAATGGCCATCCAAAATATTAGCATGATGGAGTTAGGTCGATCCGATCCTTGCCCATTAGTTGGAACTGTTATTCCATTACCAGCATTTAAGCCAGGATCAGGAATAACATCACCAAATCCAACAACTGCAACCACTCCTATGGTACGTAAGCAACTCTTCTATGATTGACTTGATTAACTTACAGTCCTATCATTGTTGCTATCGCGAAAAATGATGATAATTTTTTTGTCGCTACTACTTATGGATGCTTGCCAATAGACGTTGAATTTTAAGTACTTCTTTCTAGATGCAGATAGACAAACAATCTATCTACTTGTTACCAGTTACCAGTACTTGTTACCAGAGGGTTGATTTACTTTGCTCGCTAGTTTTATTTTTAGCTGGATGATCGATGAATTAAAATAGCTACACAGTAGAAAAGCAGCTACTTTTACTACGTATCGCCTTAACTTAACACTTGTAGTGAGATTGTTCTTTGGCTACTTTCTCGAGCTAGAAATAGTCTAATTTATCCCATCCATCTTCTCATGATGCTTTCGATTTTATATTCATATTACCTCTAGAATATCATCACGACTTCAACTTCAAGTACAGGAACAACTTCTTCTTCGATAGGAAATTATCGCCAATCACTAGCAATCATTTATTCTCTTGCTCTGTTGCTATGGTGCAGTCTACTATTATAGAATAGAAAATAAAAAAATCAATAAGCTTTTATTTAAGATCGATTAATCACGTTTAAGTGGATTCAATCATGGAATTATTCTGTATCACATTTATTTTCAATATAATTTCGCTGTATATTATTATGATTTTCTATTAGTAAGAACGTTATCAATGAATGAGCCGTGTAATGGATATAAACTGTATTCGAGTTATTTTAATTGCAAGCATGGAAGTGCCATTACAGCAATGTTATCGGTAATGACAGCTAATCCTCATCAAATTGTCTACTCATATTTCTCTTATGTATTAACCATGATTTCAATTTAGAATACGAGTAGTTTCATAAAACGCCTATCAGGTAGCGCTATTTGCACAACGATTTCAGAGCTAACGAGTAGAAACTTTTCGTATTCAAGATCTGATTATACTATTCTTCCAACAAGGACATTTTGACTACTCTAATGTGCTCGATATTGAGCAACTAATTATCGTATACGAGTATAAAGGTCGGTTCTAATTCTATTCTATCTGCATAATATATGACTTCTTTATTTTTTTTTTTATTTATTCCTTATTATTATTGAATATTCAAATAACACTTTCATAGTCTACATCTATTATTCATCGCTAATATGACGGACAAAATTAAATCTATCTATGTATATGATTGAATTCTTCATCAACTAGCTATCTCGACACTATGTAAAACGACACCTAGAAATGATGATGATGGTGATGCAAAGTTTCGACTAGTTGGTTATAACTTAATTATTTAGCAATTTGCGCCATCTATAACTTTTAACATACCATATAAGTACGCTTGTAATCTTTCACATATGGTAATAAACTCTATATATATAACAAAATATGGTAAATTTATCCTTTCTGACTACATATCTATATAAGTTAAATATTGGGCAATTTGCACTCGAGCAATCTCAGGTCGATCATGTAGGTAGTTGACTGTATACACAAAATATCCTTTCGCTCTATTGTGACTCAATTATTGGGCAAATATAATCTTTCCATTACCTTTATGATACAAATCATGCCAGCTATCGTCGTTTACTTCTGTTGGGCATGACTGTGTAATGTAAAAAATTTGCCCATTGCCCTAATTTGCAAACACTCAGCCACGGTAGCCTAGTATATGCAGTGGCTTCTTCAAATGGTACAGTAGTAGACAAGTGTAGCCAGCAGCTAAGTTCATGACCAGATGGAGCAGTAAAAAGTTAGTAAGGTCCCTGGACTCATTTGAAGTCATTGGCTTCGTCCTTGTTACCGATTGAAATTGGTAACGAGGAAAATTAAACTACTACAGAAAACTAAAACTACAAGCCTACTGTCAGCTTTCTCCTGCCCGACACCTACCTACAATACTATTTCAGATACTGACAATCTCCTATAGCCAAGGAGGAAGGTAAGCGTAGAGTCAAAAGGATAGATGTGGGTCTATTGGAGCACTATGCAGCAGTCCTATAGGTCATAGGCAAAAATTTGCGATTCCATTCGTTACATTATGATGAACTGTTAGCAATTATTAGTCTATGATACTGTTCATATGATTCTATCTCATAGCGTAGCGCAGGAAGTGAGAAAAGTACTGAGAAAAGGTATTTCAGGGTCTCGCTAAAGTCTCCAACTCCATCTAGTTTTGATGGCATTTTCAGTCTGAACTGCTCTGTTTACTTTCCTGCGTTAAATGGCTTCGCTGCCGTAACGGCTCAGAAGGAATAAATCTGCAAGTCAGAAATCCGTAATTTCATCTAAATTGACAGCTTTATCTGCAGGTAACTGTTTTATTCGTTTACTTTCTTGCCTCAACTGGCTTCGTTGAAATAAATTTGCCTGCCTGCAAGTCAGAAATCTGTAATTTCATCTAGTTTGACAGCTTTATCTGCTGGTAACTGCTTTATTCGTTTACTTTATTGCCTCCACTGGCTTTGTTGAAATAGATCTACATGTCTGCAAGTCTCCATCTAGTTATGATCGCATCTTCAGTCGGATCTGCTTTATTTGTTTTCTTTCCTGCCTTAATTAAATGACTTCGTTGCTATACCGGCTCCGAAGGAATAACTCTGCAAATCTGAAATCTACAACTTCATCTAGTTTTAGCAGTCTTATCTGCAGGTAACTGCTTTACTCGTTTACTTTACTGCCTCAATTGGCTTCGTTGCCGTACCGGCGAAGAAGAAATAAAATCTGCAAGTCTGCAATCGACCACTTCATCTAGTTTTTGACAGTCTTACTTGCTGATCTACTGCAATATTAACAGTATTGACTGCAGACAACTGCTTTATTTGTTTCCTTTGCTGCCTTAATCAGCTTCGAGGCGAAGAAAGAATCAATCTACAAGCTCATTACAGCACTATCTGCTTTCTTATACCTTCTTAACTTAATTAATTAGCCTCTTCCTCTCTCCTCCTGCAGGAAGAGCTTGGAAAATGGGCAATCCTGCTTCGAATCTAGCACTGCGCAATACGTTTGCGCAGTCATAACGCACGTTTTCATCCCCTCTGTTGGGCGCATTCCTCGAGTCGGCATTTCCTTTTGCACTTTTCGAATTTGGATATATGATTAATTGCTTCTATTGCACTAGAATCTCCTCAAAACGCTCAAGGCATGGCTGCTAAACAAGGCAAATCTTACGTAAGTATTTCTACTTGTATGGTATTCAATGACGATGAGATTAGATGGTAGTTTAGTCATAGTAATCCTTGAAAGAAGACAACATGGTGTTTGGGTTATCCCGTCGCCATGTCGGCGCAATAGGCCAACTTAAGAACCGAGAATTGGTCTAGCAGGCCAATTTCTTATTTACAAATGGACTTATGCTACAGTAGATGAGAGATAGAAAGGGAATATGAAATCGGATTTAGATATATCTTCTTCACCTTACAATCTCAGACTCCTAGGATGTAGGAGAGAGCGCAAGGAAGGAAAACCTTTCTTGCCACTGCAGCTTTTGAACTTCACATACCTGCACCATTTCGTCGCCAGTAATGAATTGTTATTTTCTATCGGATTAACAACAACGCCAAATTGTAGCGGTAGGTCCAGTAGCTGTGTGGGAAACACTATTTCCATGCTTTAATCTGCATACTAAAGTACTTGAAAAAGTGCTACAGCATTGTAACATGCAACACTATATTAGTCAATATGATGCAATGAATAGAAATGATTACTATAAAAGAACCCATTAGGACTTTAGTGCTAAAATATCCGAATATCAAAGACCGATCTCAACCAATGGCAGCAAAGACATTGTAATAATGCAGCTCTATTTTGTTGGCTGCAAAGAATCACTGAGTAATAGTCGTATGGACACTTGCGATGATGGAAAACCAGTAGAAAGAGGATTGGTAATGCTGCAGTGTTGTAGGTTATTTCCCCCTTTAGCTTACCACGTCTACGTACGTCAGCGCAAGTAAATTAATAGACTGCAGTACTTTGCATGGCCTGTATCGAGAACAGATTTAGCCGATAGGTCCTTGTTCGAGTTGAGATAATAGTGTAGCAAGTTTTAAAATTAGCTGGATGCCCGTAAACATGTGTACTCAAATTGTCTCATAACAGACATTCTTTATTGCTGCAGGTGATCATCATAGATAATATCTTATTGAAATACGATTCGTCTACGTTATTTGAAAAGCTATCCCAAGTGGCTTCGATCAAATGGATGTCTTTAGATACTGAAAATAAGAGTGTAACTGTTCGTTTTAATGACGACCATGATGGTAAGATAACGGCATCAATTGATGCTTAAATGATAAATAGATCAATTAAAATTTGCAAGAATAATTGTACGCGTATACCAGTGATAAACTGTATCATTAGAGGTTTCAGATTAGACAATTTCAGGTTGTAACCGCAACTTATATACTGTACAATTATTGGAAGACAAAATTAGGAGCCTGAAATATTTCTCGAGATTAATTAGTTACCCTATAAGCAAGTCCCCTTGACACTTAACTAAATGGGACTGATATAGCTCGTAATCTTCATAGATTTGATCACCTTATATGTGGTTATAAAATGCGAGTTCTATAATCGCTAAATATGGTCATCGGTCATATTTATATTCCATGTCTACAGAACGTAGAATTAGTATTTAAATGACCAAGTTTAATCATCGATTTAACCAAGATACTGCATGTTGAAAGAATATTCCCATCTAGTTTACTGAATAAGTACTGTAGGCTATTTAGAGATTGGTCACGAACTAAATTAGCTCGCGATGTGATTATTCGAACTAGATCATTAACTTGTATTCTGCTATTTTTATCATATATCCTGACTCGATTACTCGTACCACTTCAACATATTTAGCCGAACTCCTCGGTGAATTAGGAGCAATTACGATTGAAAGTCAGCAGTTCAAATTACGCTTGGATCTTCTGGATTGATACAGTGTGCCGCATGGCCCACTTCTCTTGATTTTGTTACGTATTCAACAGTAAGTCGTCAAGATTTCCTCCACAGCAAACCTTTTACGTGTAGGTCGGGATAATAAGTTTAATTTCATATCATGGTTTATTTATATAGTAGTATGAGATTAGAACACGTATTTTGGAATGCATCAGTCAACTTTTTGAGGAATCATTATGTAATATCACACTTATGAAAGTTATAATGCATTGAATGCAGCATTAACTTTGCTATTAATTATCAATCATTCGTCTACATATATATCATGGTAATGTATTTCTGTGTAAATGTGATATACGATATCCCCGTAGACCCTTACTCGAATCGGTGTAAAATCTCAACTTGGTAAGGCCAATTTTTGGTAATTTATGTTAAGCTAGTAAGAAAATGTAACGAATTGGTGTAGAATGAAGTAGATCTGCTCTGGATTGCATTTCTTATTTATGGTTATTGTTGATATGCTGTTGTGCGACTAATGTAATTTTGGTACCAATTAAAAAAGCGTAGAAATTTTTTCTACCGGTACAGTTAGGATTAATCACTAATAATGCCGTAGCCACCTCATTCCCATTATTTGCAATAATAAAAAGAGTACTTTATTACCATAACAATTTTTTCTCCTTTCACAATGTTACACAAACCGAGAAAACGTAAAAAAGTGATTAAAAATCGGATTAAATGATAGCAAATTAATAAGTTACCATAAAAGTCTCACTGGAATAGCTATACTACTGTAACGGTAGATTAGGCTTTACATTAATTATTAAAGTTCAGGAATAAATATCTTAAGATCCAATACCATTCTGCATATTTTAATATGGCTATGGTTAAAGGATATGATTAGCATCATTCGTAATCAAATAGCAAACTAGTAATGTGTAGTTTTTAAGGAGATAAAGTATGAAACAAGCAATGTTTACTGTGTTTAGGCCAAGTTGTAATATCAAATTGTTATAGATTACAATTACTACAGTATATCGTACATTAATTTAGTAGATAGGGCAATAAATTAAGGCTATCGATGTCTTTTCCTTTCGTGCCCCTCCTGCACACTCGTTCCAGGTCGTAGATCTGTAACAATAAATGATACGTGTAATCATCTAACATTGGACAACTATTCTGACTAAAATATTTTGGCTACAGTGTTCTTAACTTAATTATAATTATTGCAGCCTTTTATAACTTTATCAAGTCCTTAAGAATTATCAAAAAGTTAGGTAACACGTTCTTTTAAATCTCGATGACAGTCTGGAGCGATGGTAAAAAGTCACTTACTTTGATCCACAACTGCGTTACTTTTTTTCTTTACTTTGGATTTAGTTCCATCCTCAACTTGCAAATGGTCATTCATAAGTTGTACATCTTGATCACTACCAAAGCTCGACCTAAATAAATTACAAAAGAATGGAAAATGTGACTCAAACAATGCAGTAATACGCACATTTTTTGATTTAATCACTGATATAGTTACCTTAAGACGCGTTGGCTTTCTGGTTCCGCAATCTCAAAATCATCCGTAAATAAAATAGTAAAATGAGGAACTGGAGCATCGACAGTAGGTATTATGCCCCGCGCACCCTGCGGGATTTGTCCCAGATTTCCATGGAATACCAATAAATCATCGACGGATACCTAGAAACACATGGTACGATCAACCCACAGCATTGATAAATTACGGATTGAGATCGAATATAATTATTTACCGCAAATTCTTTGACACCCCTACTAAATGTCTTGCTATAATTCCAGAGTTTAATCATCGATACTGTAACTGGACGATCGAATACAATGTACACAACATTTATCTAGTTTAAAAGGTGTTGAAAAATAATTAATTCGTCGTTGCTTAAAAAATTCTTACTACATATTTTTTACTTCGTCACGAAGGCCAAATATAAAAAGTTCAATTTTTGCAGCACATATCGTAATCGCTGATATACTGAAACTACCCGTTCGAATCAACTTCATGACTTACTGTATCAGGAATGACTGGTGCTAACCATAAGTGATGGCCATCGTATGTGTCATTGATTCCATCAATAAGTTTATCAGGTGTTCGAATATCACCTGTGATACCTTCCAACGAATTAATACTATGAGGATAAGCCGTAATATCTGTTCGTCAATTAAGGAAAAATAGAATTCTTTCTACGATATAAATGATACCCTAATCAACTTAAAACCAACAGTAAAATAACATAATTTTTACAAATACATTCACGATTACCAACACAATATTAGTAGCGACACAAGGTTACAAGATACTATTTGGACTCAATGGAATTTTATCTCCATTGCGGTCATAAAGTTCCAATCCGTTAAGTCCGATATAATAAGGATCTCCCCAAGTGGACAATAATTCAAATTTGAATACGACTATCAAAAAATAAGTAATGGATGATGTTAACCCACCATTCAAAACATAACGATTAGCATAGTTTAGTAACTATCACATCATTACTTACAACCACACGGCATCATTAGTGGTTCATAATCTGGGACAAGTTGATTAAGACTTAATTTATTGCGCCTAATAATTTAATTAAGCACTGTTTAATATAGAGTAAAAACCGAAAACTAAGCGTATAGATACGAAAAAGGATGAAATCTTACTTCGACTTTCGATGTGCAATCTGATCTTCACTCTTATCAAATATAGGAGAATGTCCTGGTGAAGCATCAAATATAATTGTTTGACCATAATCGTAGTGCATATTTCCAGGTCCTATACAGAAAGTTGAAATAGAATTAGTGGCTTCTCTAGGAAAGCAAAGTTACGTTTATTCGCACTGTATATGACATATACATGTGCAACAGAAGTACAGCACCGATTAATACACGTAGCAACTTCTTCAGGTTGTAAGGGTATAGATAAATCAATTATTGCAATTAACATTTAAAATTTTCCAAGAGGAAATAAATCAAGGATCTTGACCTTTTCTTAATAAAAATCCACTCGGTGGTGATACAACTACACCATCCAAGCTAACATGAACGATCTTCGCCTATTATTTATAATTATTCACAATAGATAAAAGAATCTTAGTAATTGACAACTTCCTAGTATCTAATGTATCTTTCTACATATGAAATTCTAACCCCTCTTATGGTATCTTCTAATGATTTATTGTAATTCCAGATTCGAAAACCAATAATATTTACTTTCTGACTAAAAGCTATCGTTAATATATGATTCCGACCAGGAGTAAAGGGTATTAACCACATATGCTCATCGCTAACTGTAATTGTTGTTCCATCAACCAACCTAATAAGTTACATCGAATTTTCAGTGATTTTAAGCGCATTCAGTTCCATATTTCATCTCGTCAACGGTAACATAAATATCCTTAACTTACTTGTCAATAGTCCTACAATCATCATCATATTCTGGAAGATCATTTAAATCTCTAGGATTAGCACTTAACATGTCGACGTTAAGTTCTAGTGAGTTTCCATCAGCTCCTAGGATCTTTAGCCCAGTTAGGCCCAAGTAATGCGGATCGGACCAGGTATCAACAAAATTAAACTGCAGTACTATTAAGTAAGAGAAGACAGTTAAAACAGTTTGATATTATCAAAGAAATGTCAATTCCTATTACCTCCACAAACATTTTCAGTACTTTCCATCCTTGGAGAATTTCCTAATAAGTAACAAATTTATCTATTACGGCCAAATTAACGACAATTCAATTCTATAAGATAAATAGCAATTAATCCAACTGTACTAACCTACTGTTGCTGTGTCAATTCCTACCGTAAGTGGCTGTTATAAGTGTAAGTAAATTGTTAGATTAACACATATCTACAAAGGACAAAATCTCATCCATCAGGAAGATACTTTTACTTTCTGCTTACTTCATCTACACTTTCCATCCCCAAGTCGGCGGTTGGTGGTCTAGCATCTATTTGCGATACAATTTCTTCATCTTCAGAATCTGTTGCGATTCTAGGTGATAACCCATCAAAACTGTGGTCAAATTGGGAGATATTTTCCAATACGTCTTCATCGGTAGTAAAAAGAATGGTCTAAACCGATAGCAACAATAATGAAATATTAGATATATTCCACCAACTACTCAATTAATTTTACTTAATTATTTTAAATAAAGGAATTCAAAAACGATTTCTAGGCTGACTAATATGATCAATTAGCAAACATCTATTTATTTCAGACAATCCACCAATAGATACATACATCACCAAAAGAAGCCGTTCCCCCTAACGCTCCACCGATAGCTCTATTTAAGAATTTATTAAAAGTTTCATTAATGTATTTCCAAGCAAACTTTTTCTTCTAACAATTCACCATACCTGGCAATTTCACCATCAAAAATTTTATAACCGTCTAAGAATATTTCAACTCGACGTGCTCCACGATTAGAGTGAATACGAGACTTATTATAGTTCTGCATTATGTAGGTTAAATGATGTTTTTATCAGTAAAATTTATTCACATTTAATACTGCCAAAGTTCAAGTCTACGTTTCAGTAAACTCCATCCTAAACAACTAAATCTATATTATTTAACCTAATATAGCTTATTAAACATGAATAGAAACAACGTCATATCTAACCCATAATCGAATTATGGCAACCGTTTCACGCTTATCAAAGAGAATTGTAATAAAATGATTCTTTCCAGGAGTAAAAGGCGCTAGCCATTGATGCATGTCATCCCTACAGTAATAATTAAAAATAAATAAGAGTTTAGATGAGTAAAATTGTGTTTGAAAGTCATAACTATGCCTCAGGATTGAGCTATTTACTATTGTAATATATCTATTATGCATATTTTTTAAAATGCCAATTAATTGGCGTATTCACCTAGTTTTATATACTCCATCGATTAAATTACTGACAACTCTTGGATCTTTGTTATAACCAGGTAATATGTTGATATCTGCTGGATCGGCTGATATCTATCAACATTTTCAGTTCGCTTCAGTTACGACGATATCTTTCGTATAATTACTGTATTACATTTACATTTATAACGACTGCTTACATCCAAAATTGAAGGTGGTTGACCATTTCTCGCAAAAATCTCAATACCGTTCAATCCGACATAGTGCTTATCGCCCCAAGTTGATAAGATATTAATAATCAGCTGTTGTCCAGATGGTAAAGTAGGTATCTCAAAATTAGATACTGCAGGAGCAGCCCTACATTGCATAGATCAAAAATGTTGATTACTAGAATGGGAGTGAGATCTCAATGTGAATAGCTTTCACTTGGTCTACATACTCTAGAACTTCTCTGCCATCATCGCCTTCAGTATTAATGTCTACAAAAATTTTTAGAGAAAAAATAGTAAATAATATTTTTCAATCAAGACAATATGCTCAATAAATTGGACCACTATGAAACAAGACAAACAGTTTAAGTCAATATTTGCCTTACCTTCAGATTCCATAGTATTTGCTAAGCGTCCTTTCTGAGTTCTTTTAAAATAAGTCAGTGAACTCCAAGATTCTTCCAATGATGACTCTTGCTCTCTGTAAAAATATTAGGAACACAAAGGTTATGGTCAGCTTACCACGCAATATTTATTGGTGGTCCAACAGTTACGCTTACTTCCATTGTTCCCTAGCCGATTGTAAACTAGGTTCAACACCAGCACTGGATAAGTCAAGATGACCACCAGAAGATGCGTGAGCGGATACTGATTCTCCTTTTGCATAAGCGTCATACATTGACCCTATTTACAACAGTGCAAAGAAAGCAAGAAATCTAAATATCAGATTGTTACGGAGCTTGATGCTCCTTGCATATAACTAGTAGTAATTTACGATAGTAGAATAACTGTAATGATATACTGTCGTGTGATTAAAAATATTATTAGAGATTGTCGTGTTGTAGACAACAATCTTCAATTGTTAATTGAATATTATTATTGTTTATGACTTTGAATTGAGTCATAATATGCTTATTGCGATTAATTAATTAACTAATGATGCCAAAGTAGGCAATAGAACTAATGGTGAGATAGCACCACAAATGTGTGATAAATAAGTGAACTTGCTAATTAATAATATTAATTAGTGGCAAGTATTAAGTAACACTCGGTCTAGTCGGATTTATAGTAAGCCTGTATTGCACATTATATAAGTTAATGTGAAAGATTAGCACCGGGGTTATTTGTGTGATTATTAATTTTTCATCTCAGTTCCACTGAGGCTAACGTAGAGTACACTGGTACAAACGTAAACGGGCTAGTAATAAATATATTTATTAACCTAAACCTATCGTTTGACTCGATTACTATCGTATAGGAATAAGTTAGTTTTCCCTTACTGAGGATCTCCGGAGTTAGTCGGAGAACCATAAGAGTAGATAGACTAGTTTAGGTACAATCACGAAAGTTGTTTTATGACACAGATAAGCTGATTTAAACTTATCCTAGTAAATGTAAGAGTTTACCCGCTGATGGAGCTGAACCTCTACGCGAAGTACCTCCAACGCCTTGAGAGACAGCGAATTCCTATAAATATGAATTGATAATTAACTACAATACACTGGTAGCTTGACCATTAATGAGTAAACCTACTTCTAGCTGAGTAAAAACATCACAGGAGCCACTTTTAGTTACGGATAACGGTGCGCTTTTCATCGAAAGCTACAAAGTAAACGAAGTTCCATAAATCGCAGCTTAAAATAATTACATTATTTCTCCATCAAACATTTTAAATTACATTACCTTGGTCATTTTTTGCATATTATCTTCCAACGAGCTGTCCCTAAAAAACGTATAAAATCAACAAATACAATGTAAATAAAATATATGAAATACACTTAATCGTCAATAATGGACTTCATAGGTATAGCAAAGCAAATGAGAACTAAAAAAATCAACAGAATTGCAAGCATTATCAATATAAAAAAATTCGTTATGTTCTAAAATCATCAGTAATTTCAGTACCCGTCGTCAGAGTCCTTCTCAGCAACAGCATACAAATCGGTTAAATTTCCCCATTTTCTATTGTTAGTACTCTTATCATCAACTGTAATGTTAACTGTAACAAAACATTTTATTACCTAATATCAACTATAAACTTCCTTTTAAACTTAACGTTCATTTCCTACACGCCTATAAGTCATATCACTACCTAAACTTGGGTTCTGAAATGAATCTATTTCATTCATTGAGGACCTGTGCCAAGTATAGAAAAATTTTAAGTCAGACTGTTATCTAGATGACACATGATTACGCAGAATAACATTCATTATGCAATCAGGACTTACTCTTCTTGAAATGAATTGCGACTACTCCTTAAATTATCATACCATAAGGACGTATGTTTTGACACCTCAGTGCTAAAAATGTAAAGGTTTCCAAGCATTACGTTATAGCAATAATGTAATATTAAGTGATATCATGATTGATTGAGTCTTAGCTTGCACTAATTTACCTCCCAAGGACAACAGTAGGCTCAGTTGAGGGCATATCTTCACTTAATTCATGTTTACTTGGCTGTTCCGGACTAGCAGCCTTGACCGTGTAGCTGTATAATATACATATTACAATAAAATCAGTAGCTAAACTCAGAATTACTGTTTGATCTTACAATATCGCACTAAGTAATACATCATTACATTACTGAATTTGCAGTCCCAAACGTCGTAAGAAAATTAATAGATCGAAGAACTTTTTAGAACATTTTACTCGTATATCTACAGTATGGTACATACAATGAAGGTTGTACTACAGTGTACTGTATACTCTGCAAACGTGTATAAGAATTATCTACGGCAATTCGGCTTATAAAATGGCTATTCATCTAACTACTTTATATCTAGTTCTGGCGCGAGAATCAGTCAAAAGTCAGACATGGTACCTCTTGTTTAATACTATTTCGCTTGATTTTCCTCCTGTTAAACTGTCCGTCTCACCAGTTTTCTTCGAGATTAATTTCCTCACATCCTTTAGTGAAAGAACGTCACCCGAGCTAGAGAAAACAATATTCAGTTCCAGTTAGGATCAGCGCAAACTCGAAAAAGTCCATCAAGCCATATCTAGTAAACATACTTATCGCCTGGTATGTAATCTAAATCATTAAGATCGCATGGAAACGTACAAGAAGCTATTTCATAATCTTATTTCTAAGCTTGCAGATATTTACATTTGACTTTTTCGTTGATTGTCTTCGTTAACTAGAAATTCATCATTTTCTACCATAATTTTAAGGTTTGGCATAGCTACGTTAGTGACTAAATTTATAGTTTGACCGTATTCGAACACTTGATTGCCGCATCCCTAAATAATTTAAATTAACAACAAGCGAGAATTAAATATTATAAACGAAGTTATATATCTTGTTTCAAGTAAGCTCACACTTTGAATATACCCTACACTTCAATATAAATATTATGAAATAAGTAAACTTATATAAAATACCACACGCACTTTTTCTAATACTCCTTCCCAGGTTAATATATCATCAACAAATATTCTAGCATCTTTAACTCCAATATTTAAATCCTGAAAAAAACACTTGCCATTACTACTGATATGTAACTCTTTCTTTACGAAAGTAACCCCTACCTTCAAACTTTTATTGTAATTCCATACCATTACTTTAGATAAAATAAAATTTTCCGCTTTAGAACTTGACATCACTGAAAAATGGAGCACTAAAGTATCGCTTTTTTTATATGGAATGGACCACATATATTTAGTTTTAATTGTCTATATAAATATAAAAAAGCTAACATTAGAGAATCTATATTAACGCGTGTTTTATTTCTAATTAGTTATGCTATCTGAAACTGAAGATCTTGTAACGTGAACCTTAGTTTTTCCATTCGTAATATTCGGTAATGAAGCTGATGTTAATTCTTCGCCTTGCAATATCACACCGACATTATTAATAATCAATTTATTTGAATAATCGTCATAGAATTGTACCTGTACAAAGTACACAAACAGAGGATAAGTTGATCCGTAAAAATTAAATTAATCCGCAAATTTGCATTAATAATAATTAATCTTACTTCGGTCATCCCTAATTTATCCGGATGTCCCCAATTTGACAAAATCTCAAGTGTTACTACTTTAAAACTTGCATTCTCTACCAATTCCTCATCATTATTAGTGTAATCATTCTACGTATACACATAAATATGTAATCAAAACCATGGTTACAACAACGCAAAAATTAATATTTAAGATGCCTGTTTAATTCTCTCATCAACTTACTTGAGAAGCCGAAGTTGATGCATATACTGAGAGCAACGATGGATTATCACCAAGTTTGGATAGCATCCGTAACAATCGTCGTTGCTGACTGTTTTAAGAGATCATTGTCATGAGTAAAAATTTTAGTTCATCTATGCTCTTATTTTTGCATCTAATTTACAAGCAAATTAATACACTCTACTAAATAAATTATTTAGTCTAGGCTGACCTTGAATGTAACTGTTTCACTTTATCGACGACCTGGTGAAGAGTATTAGAGGTTAGGCCCTCTGATGTAGCTTGAATTGCCACCTTTTGATTAAAATATAATATAATTTGTTAATAAACTTTAAATTCACAATCGCAATCCTTGTTAGGTAATACCGTAAATATCAGTCAAGATTTAATCCAGAATTATAGTAAGAGTACCTCCGATGTGCTTTTCTCTACATTTGTATTTCCGTCTTGTTGATCATCTAGAGTAATTATAAAAAACAACTATTTAGCGACCGCCTAACCCTATAGGATTTTGTCCTCCTAATAGTCAAGTAAAGATTTATAATAGTAAGACAAATCATATATCATAAAATATACCTTCTCTTTTTATGTCATCTCCAATATTTGATTGATACTCTTCCTTTTTCGCACTGAATAAACAGCTTATCACTAAGTATTTTTTAAGACACACGATTTTCAAGGTATATAATATCGTCACTACCTTGTCGTAGACGCATCGTCATCATCTTTAGTTTGATAAGTTGATTCAGTTTTCTTTCTATGATTGCAAACAAAGATCTTACGTAAGTGTAACCATGGTATAACATTATTATAATAACTTATAGTACAGTATAAATCTTAAAGTTCTAAAAATATGAGATTACCTTGCAACGCTTAATTGTTTACTTCCTATAGCACAAATCAAAAGAATATTGATAGAAACATGGCATTAAACTAATGCTATATAGCATAGCAAAATTAATGGTTATCTCTTACTTCTAACGGAACTGCTAAAGTCTAATAAGAACGTCCTATCTTGAATCTGGACCGGAGGCTCTTCAGAAGATTTGACTACCGGAGTATCATCTACTGATTCCTCAATTGTTTCCTCAATATCCTCATCAGTTTCAATTTCATGATCATCATCAGCATCATCTCCAGCTATCTCTTCCTAAGATTTTAAGATTAAGATGAAGCAATCTCCAATTTAAATCAATCTCTAAATACTTTTTAAGCAGGAATTAATAATACCTCAATTTCTTCATGTAAACTTGCTCTAATATTTGCATCAGCTTCTAAACTTCGTCTTAATGTCTAGTAAACAAACAATTATACACTATGAACACTCTTACTAGATTTAAATTTTACCGAAATACAATTCGTATCGTTCATTTATCCCAACAGTTACCTTTAGATCATCATAACTAAGTCTAAGTTGATTAATACCAAGATCTTCAGTAATTTCGTCTTCAACATCATCGTCATTGTCACTTGGCATTTCTTCATCTACTTGATCGGCTTTACTTTGGGACGAAGACGACTGATTAGCATCATTCGCTGTTGCAGAAGTTGTAGAAGCTGGATTTGGAATTTGTCCTTCGGGGAATTAACAATAATTGCAGTTAATTAAAGTCTTACAAGCCCTTATGCAGATGCAATTATCGCTGTATGTTGTAGAGAGATTATAGAAATACATCCGTAAGTCCAAAATTGAAAACTAACGGTTGGCCGGGGCGTGCAAGGGTTCGCCAGTTTCTGCTTTTATTTCAATTGATTGCTAAGACACAAAACAATAGTAATTATATAGTGACACACTACTCTAGAAACAGATATTAGCTAATAAATACCTGACTCCATCCTTTTCTTATATGTTTGGCCGGAGCAGATTTGACCCTAAATTACATTAGATTACGAGAGCAAATATTACGTATTAACTATAATTCGATGTGAATCAGGCCGATTTCAAATTTCGCTTTGGCTTAGTTTACCGTTCGGGATTTATTTGGTCCACATCTCCAAAATTGATTGGAACCCAGTCAGTATCCTCTGTAAAATTTATTTAATATATCATTATGTATATTGAAGCATAGCCCATTGTACTCCAGATTGAGATCAAAACACGCACTAACTAACGCCAAAATTTTATTACGAATTCTTTAAAATGTGGAGCACAATTAAATGCTCTCATTAGCATATAGCAAGCTTACTCAAGATATCCTGCGGAGCAGTTCTAGCACGACTAGATACTCTAGAAAGATTTTGTCTAGGTGGCGGAGCTTGAGGTTTGAATTTGCTGACTAGGTTAGCTCCATTGATATAAAGTACAAATCCTTGTTCTCTTTTCTCTTTTTCTAACTGCTTATCATCTTTTTTCTTCATTTTTTTCATAAGTCTAACGTAAGATAACGTATACACAGCTATAAGATATCGAAGGTGGAATGAAAATTATACGGCAAGTTAGATATGGCACCTGTTCTTATGCTGTAAAGAAGTGAGGTATTGTTCATAGGCAGGTGAAACATCCTTTGAAGTTCGATCCTAAATTAAATATCAGGTAATACACTTATGTCAGCCACATCGCTATGTGATCTTTCCTGTGACCGTACTGTAGTGTTCTCAGCTAGTTATAGTCGTTAAATGTTTTCAAAGTGCGATAGTAATAGGAAATAAAGCACTATTTGACGTAGAAATAGTCGGTTGTTCTTCAATAAAGTAATTATAGATATCGCTGGCAAGATGGCATAATACTATTAAGTTGGTGAATTGCGAAGTGTAGGAGTTAAAAGCCATTCATTACACATAGAAAGCCGCAATTATACAAAAAATGTTTCACATGTATGAACAGAACTCACGATCTATGACTACAGTTAGCTTACTACTGCTCGAAAATAAACAATATAAAAGTAACCGTACGCGAGCAAAAACGGATTTAGTTATTAATTATTAATATAAAATATTTATGATCATGGTATAACTGTCAAAAGTTAATTACATACTGAGCTACAAAATAATCTGGCAAGCAACTATTATATCCTCACTGTTTTACATTCTAACTGTAAGTTTTTTGCTCTGTCACCCATAATTAACTTCGAATCATGTATCTTGTCCAATAATCGACTTCCGGATGAATGATAAATTTAGTGATCGTTCAATACAGTAGTGTTAGCTACTTTACGAAATAGTAACAAAACTGAAAGCTAGCTTTCAAAATTATTACCATTAACTTTCAGTTATTTATATCTTCTATAAATAGGTACAGGAGACTTGCGATACAATGATAATAAAGCTCTTAATATACAGTAAGTACTGTATATTATCATTTTTACGTTCATGAGATTTTAAAACCGAAGACATAATAGTTTAGCCTTTTCTATTGATAGTAAACTAAATGTTCTTTATTATTATAGTCACCAAATTCAATTTGTTCGTTATGTTTATAGCTGTATAAGTTGATTTAGCCTAATGTACTGTAATTAGCCTTGCTAATAAGCAACTACGATTGAGCACAAGTGTCTTCAAGGTAATCGTTGTCTTATTGTCGTTAACAAGCTACCTAAGGCTATATTACCGACTATTTTATGGTTCATTGTCAATTACATGACTTAATATTTCATTCGCCTTACAAAATGAAAAGATCATAAAACGCTAGTTCTTATAGTCTACCTACAATGCCATTGATCACAAACAGAGAATGTTCATTTTTGTATCCTTCTGATATCATTAATTATTTTTATTAATACTACCATTACAATGATTGCTCTTGTAAGATGTGATACTTGCTAAACAAGTTGATGATAATAGTGGTATCTAGCCATTCAAAGCATTGCCTAAATGCTTTCCTTTAGTAAATCCACGGTGAATTATTATTAGACATATCACTTATGAATGAAAGTTTAACTGGAAGAGCTTTGAGCCAAATGTAGTGTTACAATGTTTGTAGAGAGCGATATAACTGCCTACAATATTCGTTTTCATTATTTTACCGACAACAGACATTAGAAAGGTAATATCCTGGCACATCTATACTTTATCGCTTCATCGTAAGTTGGGTATACGAAAAACGGCATAATGGA